TGCGTCTCTCTCCTCCCCTCAGGGACATCACTTCCCCTGTTTCAGAGAGACCTTCCTTGCAGCACAGAGAAGCATCTCAGTCTGTCTGAGTGAGCACTTTGCCTTGGTGAAAGTTAACCCTGGAGTTGGACAACAGCAGCTGAGGGGGAGGTTTAACAGGCATCTGTAGCAGGTGGGTAGTAAGCACTGTTATTACGGATTAGAGGCTTCACATACCCATGTAACAGCTGAATGTGGTCTCCAAGACTACATTTCTGTGAACAAATCACATTTTCCATCAAGAAAGAGATGGGTGTTCAGTTGCACACTACTTCATGAGCTGTGGAGCACTTACCTATTATCACAACTGAAAATATGACTACAAGTAACATGGCTTTGAATTCAAAATTTCAACTCAAGAGTATCTTGGTTGATTTTTAATTGTTTATTTAAGCACTGCAAGAGAGGAACTGGAAATAAACTGGTACACGTGTACTCTCAAGCCTGTTGTTCATCTAGTTTGGGGTTTTTTTAACATGTCACAGCCACCAAATTTATATAGTAAAGATAGTTGTTGGCAAATGAGGCAAGAACTTTGCCTGTTTTCCGTGATGCTGCTACGGAAGAGATACTCCTGGTATTAGTACCCTACCTTAAGTTAACCAAGCAGGCCTGTTTGTCTTACAGAGAAGGAAGGCTATGAGATGCTTCTAGCAGAGTACCTGTGTGTGTATGTACCAACACAAAGACAGTACAGGAGGAAAACACCAGTCTGCTTAGAACAGCCTTCTGGCATACACCAGCATTGCAATTTTCAGATAGATAATAAGGCCATAAAAACAGAAACATTAATTAAGTGCATGGAATATGGGCCGAGTGGGAATGATAAGAGGTGCAAATTCTACTGAAGTCAAGCATGAAATCCTTCATGTGGTCCTGGAACAAGGAAGATAGTCTCTTCCTGAGGGAACTCTTTGTGCATTATAATAAACCAAAAGACAGCAGCTTCCTTTCTATGTCAAGCAGCAACCTGACAGGCACGTTATTACAGAGGTTGAAACAAGCAGAAGATATTCAGCTTGGGAAAGAGTAGGTTGATTTCAAGAAACAGAAAATGTCAGTGGCTATGGCAGTGTGTAAGAACATCCTCTTAGCAGAACATTCATGGAGTTCATTTTACATCAACTTCATAGACATCGAGAAATGTTTTTGCTAGGATGACAGACAATATCAATTGGAAAGTAATGAGACATTACAGAACCCCAGAAAGACAGTTAAGAGTATGGAAATCTCTTAACAGGGATCTTAGCATGAGCAAGTTCACATTAGGTCTCCTTCAAACCCACTTGAGACAAGGGGTAGCAACATGTAGTTTTCCTTCATTATTTCTTCCAATTTTTTTTACTGGATAGAGACTGGCTTGATTAGAAATGAGAATATATTGGACTCAGTCACAGTTACAAAATACAGGTTTCATTGACAGTATCTGCCTCATAAAAATGCCACAAAATTATACGAGGAAGATTAGGGTGATAGGAAGAAGCAGTTAAAAAATACCGGTTGGAAGAGAGGGGATTTTATTAAAAGAGTTAATAGAGGAGAGCAGGCCATTTGGGAGCAATTTCCATGCACACTGAAGAGGCCAAAAGAAGTGCTTTCTTCTGAAGGACAGTGAGGTGGACTGATGCCAGTGAGGAAAACATCCTTAATGAAACTGGGGACGTGTACGTGACTTTCATTCTTCAGAGAACAGTTCAGGTCTTACAACAAAAGGGATTGACACTTAAACTGCGCATCTTTAACACGCATGTCAAATCTTTATAATTCAATGAGTTGCCAACACAAAGTAATACAAAGTGGCTGATCAAGAGATTTCAATCAATAGGGTGATGTCTACAATGGAGTTTAGATATTAACTGATCTTAAAGGATAGTACGCAAAGGCTTTCACAGAACACTGTGAAAAGAGAAATGGAAATGGATATACTGTGTCTGAATAAACTGACATTAAATATTGAACACCCTTCTAATAAACATGTTAGGGACATAGTGAGATAAAGACCCAAACCATTCTGAACAGGAAGATGTAAGCACTGATTTCATCTGGAATCAAACCAAACAATGTCTCAAAGATGAAAATGCACAGAGGACTGTTACCAGCAATTATTCTGCTTCCCTGGAATGAAGATAAGATGGACACACAGTCTTACCATGCAGGCTCTTTGTGAAGGTTTCTGAAATGAACTACAGTCTATGAATAAAAAAGATGGACTGTGGCAGGAGGAAGAGAAAAGGAAAAACAAGAGTCCTAGCTGAGAAGATACTGCCTTGCCTGCCAAAACACAAGATGTCCAGAAAGAGAAAACTGGCTTAACCAAAGAAGACAGAGATACATAAATTGGTTGCAACTTCTTCAGTGTATGGACATTCATAACAAGCATAAACGTTTCTAAAAAGCAATAGAAATCATACTACATAAGAAATATGAAAGAAAGAAGTATGCATTCAAAAGTACAGCTGTGAGGGAGTATTTCAAGATACTGTTTCAATATTTACATCTACTTTCTCAACAAGGGTAAAAAAAAACAATAATAATTTCAACTAAAACCACTATTTACAGGGACAAGGGGGAGGCTGTCAATAAAATGAATGAGTTCCAACATTACAGAAATGCTCTTTTCACCTAGACTTACTGCCTCCAACACTAAGATATACATAAATCCAGGCCCTCTGGACATGGAAAAAAATCTATAGGGCATATTTTGCATATCACCATAATTTGAGGGTCTGTGATTTCTCAAGAAAACAGATATGTGAGAAACATTTTGACACTTCAGTCTAATTCCAGACTTCTTTTGACTATGTTGTAGTTGCTACTTTTGAGTAGTGCACATAAAAATTACTTTCCTTGACCTCAAGAAAAGTGATTGTTGGGTTTTTTTGATACAAGATAAAATCCCTCTGCATAACTAAGCAACATGTAGCTAAGCTTTAACTTATACACAGATCTCTATGATAGGATATTTGTGAGCGAGTGTTCAAGAGACAGTTGAGGTTTAAAAGAGCTGGCATGACTTGAGGACCATTTAAAAAGACCTCTTCTATAATAACAGCAACATACCAAATATTAAGGAATAAATAATGTTGTTGTCCTCCATGTGATAGCTACGGTAAGACAAGGACTATGGCAGCTACTCTGAGCACAACAGCAGCATCTTTGCAAAGCATGTGATCCCCTATCCTAACCCAGGATCACATAGTAATTTTCCTGCTCCAGGGTTCAGACAAGAATAACTCTGAAAAATTATATAAAGACAGCTGGACTTCAGAAATCATGAATGAAAAATAAAAGAATCTTTTCCAATATCACTGAGTAGAAGAAAACACACACACAAGCTATTAAAGATAAGAAACCATCAGGGAAAAAGACTGGGTTTTATAAATTATTTTGCAGGTGGAGCTTGCTTATTATTCTCATTTAAAATTTCCTGAACATCAATAAACATTTTCTGCTTTCAAATTTCTTGCAACTGAGCTGGGAAGACACGTTGTACAATAGCATTTTTTGTTTATAATCACTAGATGTCTTTCTTACCCCTAACAGATAAATTTTTTCAGACCTAAATTTAAGATGCCAATTAGCCATGCTCTGCACACTTCACAATGCCAAAGTGTTCAGCAACAAACTCTAGGGCAGGCTGTTCCAGCTTCTTGACAAGAGGAGATGAGGTTTTGCTACTGGTACTTGCTTAGGGTCCAGATGGCAAAACCAACTTGTAGTGTTATGGTAAGCTGAAAGATAACAACAAGGCAGGACAGAACTGACCGGAGAACAACCCATGGAGAGTTCTAACAGCATAGGAACAGAGATAAAATTCTGGAAAACAGAAGTCTTCTGGTTTTTATTCTCAGATCAGTAAATGATATGCCATGTGGAATGAAATACTGAGGATGACGTTGTTGATTACTTCTTTCCCCAGATTCTCTACCTACAAATACAGCTGCCTACATATATACAGCTACATCAGTAATGGGGTTGAGTTTCCAAGATTTCATCAAAATTTCAAAGAACTGGAGCCTCACAATTTCTGCAAAACAAACTGCAGTTGTAAGTAGCCTGGTCACATCTCAAGGTTCGCTACTGTACCTCACAGGGACCCTGTGAGAGTTTACTAGCTGGGACAGGAGTTCACACAAAAAGGCATTCAGCGCAGTTCACAACCCATCTATTTCTACTCCTATAATCATGAGAAACACAGCCAGACCTTAAAGTCACCTTTTTAATTGATACAAGAGGCAGAGCAGAGCATAAGCTATGCTGATGCAAGGGACTCTGAAAGACATGCTGCAGAAGCATCTTCTCTTGCCTCCTGCCATATTCTGTCTCCCAAGAAACAGCCTCAGAAGCTGTCTCTCCAACTCACTCCTATTTTTATGTTTATTAAACACATATTTCTCTTTTATTCAGGCGGACAATAGCAACACTTGACTTTTTAGACCAGAGTCTTATCTCCAGCCTCCACATCTTACACCCAGGCATTTATACAAGACACCTTTTTTTTCCATCCAGTTAGCAGGCAGTTTAAGTTCAGCACTGACTGGGGACAATTTAAGGCAATCTTCCTAGAATTTTTCTCTTTCCACTCTCTGCACTGCCCAGTTCTCCCAGGTTTAACCCACTCTACTTAAGTTTGGGAGGGGGCCTGACACATTAGCAGATGCAGCTCAAAATCAGCCCATAACATAACATTGGTCTGGATCTCCATCACCTTTTTGCCCATGCTGCTTGCCCAGACAGATCTGCTTCAGGTGAAATGATAATACAATTCTTGACAAAAATATATTTCCCTGCTTTTTTCCAATTTAGCAAAAAGACAGAAAATATTGATGACTTTTGCCTTCTGGGGATATTCTCACACACTTTCTAGGAATAAGCAAGTACATCTTTTTGCCATCCCATTATCACACATGTGCATGGTTATAAGAAAATGTTCTGAAGGGACATGAAGCAAATAATACCAATTTGCAAAATTCTATAGCAATATATTTATAGGAATTACAGAATTCTGTATGTATTTACACACCATTACAGAATATCAAGTAAATAACATGAATTGTTCTTTTCTTTTTCCCTCAGATTTTTCTTCAAGTGAATTTTAGTGCTCAAGGAAGGTGCCAGATGGACAGCACTAGAAAATGAAGACTTCTGTTTGTCCACAGCACAGGAGGAGAGGCACCGCAAGCCTCCCTGCTTTGCCACGTCAGCTCTCTCCAGCCCTGTTTTAGCAGGACCACATAAGGAGCAGGAGGGCATCCATACCCCTTCATGCCTTGGCAAAGGAGCAAAGCAGCACCCAGGTGACAATGGTTTTGCCCATCCCCCACCAGAAAACAAACAGAAATAACTCATTTTACACCAGTGACTGAACAGAATCTGTTGTTCGCTACCTGAAACAGGCCAAATTTGACCCAGTGAACCTGCAGGGAGTGGCAAACTGCCAACTCCTAGGCCTTCCAGTCTTGCAATAATGCCTAAGTTAAATTACATGTTTCTATATTTACATAAAGTCAGTATTTACACACCATTACAGGTTATTCGAGTAAATGGGTTACAGTTTATTTATATGGACTGCCATAAACTCATAACATTTTTCTTGAGTTTAATCCTTTCTTTAGAAAAATACAAAAAAAAATAAATTAAATTAAACATGTTAACTAGTAGTAATGATTTGCCTATGACTAAAAATCCAAGTCGATTTAACATTAAGACTCTAACCATGGCCTAGTATTGTGGCCTCAACTCAGAGCATTTTTAACCTTTGCAAATAATTTCCCTGTGTATGCCAGATTTACTGAAACAGCAGAGAGTTGTAACCTCTCTTCCTTGTGGTAGGATTGATCCATTTAACACTGAGCAATGAGTTCTCTCTGGAGTTCCCTCCAGAAGCTCCCTTTCTTCTCCTACGGTCTTTGCATTGCCCAGACAAACAATTCCGAATCCAACTGACCCACAGCAGCCAAAATATCTGTAGATCTCAGTAGCCCCAAAGGGTCAGAGACAAACACATGGGCTGCAGTTGAAGGCTGTAAATTCCCAGGCAATAACAGTCCCTAGACAAGTATGTCTAACTGTATCCTACAAATCAACTAATGTAATTTACATATCTTTATCATTCATAAACAATTACAACAAAATGCCATGTTTTATTTAAGATTACTGATATCGCCATTTGAGACATGGCCCCTTCCACCTGCTTGAGGGCAGAAAGGGCATGTTTGCTCAGGACATCGAGCCAGAGGTTATTCCAGAACAGAAATAAGTTTCAAATAATGTAAATCAGATAAATAAGAGTGCCTTAGAGCAAAAATTTCTGAATTATGAATAGGCTACAAACTTATGTATTGCTCCTCCAAAACCCATCTGCGCTCAGCCCCTGTGCCTCTGCGGACAGCCAGGGTGTCAGGACCAGCCCTGCTCCTGACATATCCAATGGCAAAGGGTACACTTAATGGCACTGGATTAAAATCCTAAGGGGCACAACAGCTACAAAATGCATTTTTCATATGGACCTTAACATGACATTTGTCTCTATTTTTTTCTTCTAGGTACTGGGGAAAAAAATGCATCTTGCTAAGGGCTAATTTCCAAATGATAACTGCTAATCAATGTGCTTGTGTATTTAACATAAAATGCTACATACCGTTAAACATTACATACTGTTACCTCACTTAAGGTTCATGAATATTAGAACATCCTTTAGGAAAAACAATAAAAATAAGTCTAATACTGTCCCCCTCATTGTCATTATTGATAGAGATTTATTAGTTTCATTTTGCAAGTTTTACTTTAGGAAGGGTGCTAATATCATGTATTATGACAGTTCACACTGAAAGCAATTTTCCATAAAAGATATTACAATGACCCCTATGGAACTTGTATAATTTCACAGTAGATAGTCAAGTGCACAAATAAACATGTTTACAAGAGTGATCCTGTTAACCTGGTTCTTGCCCTCTGAAATCTTTATGTGCTCTTTGTGGAATCTTAAAATTAGTACAAATGTTGTTGGTATTATGTTGTTTCTGGCATTCTCTTTAGGAAAAAAAAAGCATATTTATCACTTAGCTTTGGTATAATCTGCAATAGGTTTTAACAAGTAGAATATATTCCAACCCCTACATTTTTCACAGCTGTGAAATTTACAATGATGTAAGAAGTCATTTTATCAGAGAGGAAATATTACAGACACATAAAAAAAAGTTGAAGACCCAGTTTTCTCTTTAATCCTCTGGGGTAAGCTATGAAACAAGCAGTCAGAAGAGTGAGGACTCAGTGTCATGAGTGGTGTGCATAATTGTACAATAATATGGGCACAAAAGAGATTGTCGCCTTTAGTACATGAGGGTCACTAGAATTTATTATTATTGTCATTACCTTTTTATTGTTGGTTTTTTTTTTATCCATGCACTTTTATATTTACTTGCATGAATTTACCACAGGTTCATAGTGGCCTTTGCCATTTTAATGCTTACAGAGCCTAAAGCTTCCAAAATGCCTATCTGGCCTGTACATATTTCATTAAAAATAAACTCTATATAATAAATAAATATATAAAATAAATAAAATGTTGCCTTTGGAATTTCTATAAATAAATTTAACTTTTTATTTTTATTTTTTTTACTAAGAGGTCTTTGCTTTAAACTCAGTGGGGTGAGACCCAGAGAGCGATTAACTGAAAAGTCTCTTGTTTAAGTAAGACTGCACCCTCCATGCCTTTGTAAATGCAGCGTACACTTGAGCAGGCCACCAGCCAAAAATCCTGATGAATCAAAGTATGGCAGCTATGCTGATATATGACGAAGTACAACTGATCAAAAATTTAAAAGCGTGTCTATTCCCCAGCATGCATCAGGCCTTCCTCCTCCTCACCCTCCTCCTCCTCCCCTTGGCTCCTCTCTCTCGCGCTCTCACTCCCATTCATGCTCTCCCTTTCTCTCTCTCTCTCTCTCTCTCTCTCTCTCTCTCTCTCTCTCTCTCTCTCTCTCTCTCTCTCTCTCTCTCTCTCTCTCTCTCTCTCTCTCTCTCTCGCACTCACTCTCTCGCGCTCCCTCTCGTACTAAATCAAGCGAGTGGGCATAGGCTCTCCTCCAGGAGGACAAACCTTTAAGTGCAGAACAAAATCAGCATGTTCCATCCAAGCCTCCATCATACATTATGCATGCGACAAAGTTTGGCAACAGTGGAGCTGATGTGATGACACAGCTAATCAATAAGAACCCACCGCATGAAACCTTTATAGTGGTTACTTTTTAAGGGCTCAAGTGAAGGAATTGTCTTTGTCAACTTTGGCTTAAAATATCCTTATATAGTTCCGGTACTTTCTCAGGGTCCACTGGTCTAGGTAAAAAATGTGTAAATTTTTGATGCCGTTTAGTCCTAGTCCCTTCTCTTGGAGTCCCATCTTTATTTAACGCAACATAGTATCGTCTTCCAGTGTCCACATGTTTATATAGATTTGATGAATATGTGTTATACCAGTTTTCTTCAAATTGCTCTCTGAATACACACTCCTGGGTTAATTTTTCCTGTGGAAAGAAAAGAAAAAGCAGTAAGGAGATAGGCACTAAAATAAGCTACTTGTTAAAGAACTACTGTTTTCATAGCTTGAAATCAGTACCTCCTTGCTAAATTGCGAAATTAAACATTTCAATACTCCTAGTTTCAGCTATGTAAAGCTGTATTGCTGGCTATTTCAGTAGGCAGTCACAGGGTGGATAACTCTATGTAAAGCAAAAATGATTCTCCCAAAGTCTCATTGCCCAAATCAATACAGAAACTACAAAGCTGAAAATAGATATTTTCCATTTTGATCATTCCCAAGCAGATCACAAGACCTTACTGGACTTGTATAACTAATTGCTTTAATCATGAGTGCAGGCATTCAAACAAACAGATATAAGTAAAGAAAACTAGAACTGGTTTGCAGGACTCTAACAAAATTCATGGTCTTAAAATCTCAATGTCTTTTCATTGCATGAAGAACTCAATGCATTTCATTAATTTAAAAAGATACAATTTACTACCCTTCGTTTGTTTTATTATTTGTATCATGGAACCACGACCCAATAGAGATTTGAACAGGAACACAAACCCTGTGTGCTGAGATGAAGTTAGGCAAGGAAATGTCCTCCAGACTTGCCTTTACCAGGGTTGTCCTTGTGTCCTGTCCTACTGACTTGACCCACTGAAGACATCAACTGTTCATGAGACCCCCAGCAACAGAATTCCAATCCTTCCAATTGACCCACTTATTCAATCTGTGTGTATCCCTCTACAACCTTTTGGTCTAAATAGGTGGGGTTTGCTTAAAATGCAGCCACCTGATAACAGGATTTATTTTAGGAAGGACTCACACAAATGACTGAGCAAGAACACTGAAAAAAAGGCAGTGAGCTCTAGCATGGGAGAGCTGATGGAAAGCTGGGAAAAATAAGCCTGAAAATAGTCTTTTCAGCTGGCACAAAAAATATAATGATACTTCGATACATTTTTTTGTAACAAGGTTCTCACTTCAGTAACACCATATCAACCAAACCAAGCTTCCAGATGAGGATCAATTTCTAATTACTACAAAGCTCCATACAATGCATGTGTTTTACAGACACGAAATCTTAAAAAAAGTCCTTTTAGATAGATGCACAGAGAAGGAAAAATAGAGACCGAGAACCAGATGCAACAAAGCATATGTGAGACCTATGCCATAAATGTGCAACCAAATACAAGAAAGGAGCCACAGCTCAAGCTCCAGTGCCCTCAAGAAGCCCCCTTCCATGACTTACTCCAGAAGCTTCCCAAAGTCCACCATCACCGAAGCTTGTATCTTGCCCTGGGGCTGCAGGTGCATTTGGGGCCACCTCTGCTGCTTGAGACTCAGGTCACAACCCTTTCCCAAAGCAATGTGTTTTGGCCCAGATGTTTCACTGCTGATTTGCATGGCAAGCACTCTGCTCCCAGGGTAGAGCTCTGCAGCTCACCAGGATTGAGGACTGGGGTCCCAGTGAGGTCCAAGGAGCCTTACACACCTTACAGGAGCCACCCAGTAAACATCCCATGTGGAGAAAGCAAACCACATGCAAGTGGGGAAAGAAAGCCAGCACCCCTCTACACCTGTACAAACTGGGTACTACTGAGCTGCAAAGCCAGGGTCCTCCTCAGTGCCTAAAGGTTTGGGATTTTAAGGTTTCTTCTAAATTCAACATGTGGCAACTCCAGTAGGTAAGAAAGGCAGCAAGTGAGCAGCTTCTGATTTCTGACTGAATGAGTACTCATTACTACTCAGTAAGGAGAAATCCCTGACAGGACCAGGGATGTTAAACACTTGAGAATTCACTGTGGCAGCAACTGTATCCCTGTGTGGATATAACAACTTATTTTAGAGGCATTTCTGACTATGACATTTTTAATGTTCTAAGTAGCTCAAACACAGCAACACTCTATACTAGTTATAGGTAAAAGAAGCACAAATCTGCCAAGTTAAACCCTTATCTATGGGCCAGACCTTGCAACCTCCAGTTGATAATTGTCTCTATGTCCTTTGCTAGCTCGAAAACGCAGCTGCAATGAGTACTACTGGACCAGCAGCAGCTGTGAGTTACACCCATTGCAGTATCCCCCTTGTACAGCCTCAAAAGTACAAACTACTATGAAAAATATTCAGCTGCAATAAAGATTATCTATAAGTATAGGTTTCATTAGTGTTTTATTTTGCATGAGGTTTAAAATCACTTTTTTTGCTTTAAGACAGAAGCAGATGCTAAGGGATATTATATGCTGGGCTTATATAGGTCCATGGGGAAAGAGAAACCAATTCAAATTGTTTTCCTGCTCTCAGAAGGCAGTAGGATCACATGACAAGCACTGCAGAAGCACTCCCTGCTAAAAATAGCGGCATTTTAGGAAGATATTTCAGTCCTGTCTTGAATTCATTAATTATTCACTTCATCTGCATTTTTTTTAGCATCATCATAAATTTCTATCTTTGCAAGAACAGTACTTCCCCATGCCCCGAAGGAGAAATTTTAAAATAGCCTCTCTTTATCTGGCAGGTTTGATGGATCATGACAGTGCTGTGGCACACATAACTAGCAGACCTTGAATCAGGGGGTTTGCACTGTACTGCACTTGAGATGAGTTAAATGGATTTCAAGCTTACAAATTCAATCTTTATTTTACCAGCCTATCCTGGTTTTACTTTCTATTCACTCACAACACAGCTACGTCTCTTTTGTCCTTCAAAAATTGCAGAAATTCATGTATAAACAGTAGGCAAATACTTCATCATGAACTTGACAGAGCAGTCAGGATTTAGGATCAGATATGTAGGGACACTAACAATCAGCCTTTCAGAGAAGTGAAATAATTTCTTTAGAAATTCATCAAACCTTTTCCTTCTAGGACACCTAGAAATTCTGGCTGTAGTCAGAAAGCACTGGAGCAAGTCGGTGTCAGTGACTTTGGTTCAGGTTCTGTAAGTATTGTGGGACACTAAAATCCCATAATACCCTTCTTCCCATGCCCCGCAAGGTTGTTACAATAATGGCTCATCTAGTACCAAGAGAGAGAGAAATCAACATCCACCAGGATAGTCATCTGTGTAGAATCATAGAGTCATTTAGGTTGGAAAATACCTTTAAGATCGTCGAGTCCAACCATGAACCTAACACTGCCGAGTCCACCACCAAGCCATGTACTACCACCACCCTGCACAGCATTACTAGCTTACACTCATGTTTTAAGTATGCACTCCATTATTCAAGCCAGAAACGAGCACAATGCAGAGGTGAGGCTGGTCCGTCCTGCCAACACCACCTTCTTGTCCCACCAGCTTAGGATGGGAAAGTCTTGATGAAAGCCAACTCTTCCAGTACGGAAAGGATACGATGTTTCCCGATCGTAAGTGGCTTGCATTTCTCCTTCTGGCTGTGACTTTTAGAAAGTCCCTCTATTCATAGTTGAAAGCAAGATTTAGCCCTAGAGTACAGCAATTTTTGCATACTTCTATTCTAGCAACTGACTTCTCTATCAATTTTCTAGTGCAAACATTTCCTTGCACCATACTTAAAGTTGCTAGATGTCTTTGTCGAAAGCTGACACAAATACCAAACATACCCAACTGGAACAGCTATGGAAAGTAACCTGCATTCCTGTGAAAGGGGAGGCTGCCTGCCTTGCTCAAATAATTTAGTTCAGGGCCAAATAAGGAGGTGACCTCAAAATTATATCAATCAGATGTTACACCACATTCCACGTGTTTTCTGTGAGGACTGTTCATAGAGCATTCAATTCAAAGTAATTGATTTTCATTTCACTACATTTCCACTCTTCACCTGTTAATTTTTTTAACTCGGAATGTTCAAATAATTGAATTGTACAAAGATGCACATATCACAAGCACAAACGTCCAAGACAGATTTAATTCAGAAGTTTGCTAAGGCCTGGTCAATTAGCAAGCACAGGACCCCTTTCCCTTCCTACATTCTCTACCACCTAACAAAGGAGAAAAATAATTATGTTTTCCTATTTCCAGGCAGACCAATTAAAAGTGAGATTGTAAATTATTAAGGTACATAGTTACAGCCATCACAATGAAAGTTTTGCTAGCTTGTTTAAGAATAGCTATTCCTGTGAAGTAGTTCATTATAAATAAGTGAAAATACACAAAACACATGTACACTGCTCAGAGCGTGGTTTCATGACTCTAAAGAACATAAGACATTTGTGCTGCTGAGTAGTTGAAAGAACAGTGCAGGGTCCTATACAAAACACTTTTCTTTCTTTTTTCTTTTAAATAACCCTATGGATCTAAAACTCTCATTAATTTTGTAATCTGACAGAAGGAAGCCTCTTCAGACCACCATTCCTAAAATCACAATAAATACCTTTCATGCCTAGCAAATTCTGTTCTATATCACGTATCATTTTCCCTTTTGCAAACTGCTACAGTGATTCATAAGAGACAAGAAAACACCTAATCCAGAATTCCAAACAACTATTAACAAGAAATATATCTGATGTAGTCAGCACTTCCTATATACCTGCTGCACGTCATCACCATGTTAATCCATTCTGTCTTAATAAAATCATGTTCAATATATAATCTCCTAAATAATTTCATGGAAATCCCTCATTATGGCTACATGGCACTAATAAAAACTACGTATGTAGTGAAGAGAAACAACAAAAAATCCCTATTCTTTTCTGAAGTGGTTTGCTCTGCTGTTCTGCCTACCAACACACACATTTTACATGCCGTTGGCCCTTCCCATGCTGTAATGCAAACAGCCTCTAGAACATACTACGTTCAGCTAATAATTAACACTCATCCAGAGCCGTCATAAATAAAGGTCTAGTTTAGCATTTGCTGTGGTATTGTCTGAACTCCCATGCTAAGCCTGTTAGTCTCTGGCTGGGTGAACAAACTCCAGCCACAATGAGAAGCCAAATACCAGGGTCCAAGCAGCTCCACTTTCTTTTCCAAATTAGACCACAGTGTGAGGCAAACTCTGCACACTGAGTGTCTGACTTT